AATCCACGCGGTCTGACCATGGTGTCCTTATCCACACCAAGGTCCCTAAACCCTAAACCCTAAACCCTAAACTCTTCATTCCAAAAAGCCTTCAAGCCCGCACCCCGCGAGCACGGCAGGGACCCCAAGATCCTCCGCCAGTACCAGGGTTTTAGGGTTTAGGGTTTAGGGTTTAGGGTTTAGGGTTTTAGGGTCTAGGGTCTAGGTTTAGGGTTTAGGGGGTTTAGGGTCTGTAGGGCTTCGGGCTTCGGGGTTCTAGGGTTTTAGTGTCTGGAGGGTTAAGGAGTGTTAGGGGTTTTGGGGCTTCAAGGGTTTCAGGCTTTTTTTTCGGTTTTGGGGAATTTGGGTTTTAGGGCTTTGGGGTTTGTGGGTGTTGGGGTTTACGGCTCTGGAGTTTCGGTTCTTTGGATAGTCTTTGGGGCGTCTTAGCAACACCCAATGCTTTTTTCATGACCCATCTCCACCCCGCCTCTTAGGTCCTTGCTGTCTTACCTTAAAAAGCCCTAAACCCTAACCCTAGACCCTAACCCTAAACCCCAAACCTTTCAAGTAACAGTCAGCACACCCGGGTCTGGCGCCTGCGTTTTGCACATCTTTGTCAGATGGAGCAACGCACTTCGGCGGCTCCTGTTCGTGATGCACCTAAGCCCCCTGAGAAGGTTTAGGGTTTAGGGTTAAGGCCATAGGGTTTAGGGTTTCGGGTGGAGGGTGTACCCCTAACCTCCTATACCCTACACGCTTAGTCCCCTAACCTCTCCATTGAAGTTTGCGTGAATCGACCTCTTTGGGGTTGTCAAAGACTAGCAAGCAGGAGCCGTAACGCATTTGCATGGGCATAAAAAAGCCTAGAAAGCACAGTTTCTTGGCAACGCACCCTAAACACCCTCAACACCCTAAACCCCAAACGAAAGGAAATTCAGGGCATCTTATAGGGTATTTAGGTGGGGGGGGGGGGTGCCTGCAGGCAGACCCTGCGCTGAACTCAAGGAAAAGCCCTAAGAACCCTGAAGCGTCGCTCTCTCTAAACGAAGTCATCTCCATAAGTAACGATTACAAAGCCCAAAAACTCCTCTTCTCTACCCATATAACCCACCAGAAACCCCATAAGCCCCTATTGTAAGCCCCAGAACCCATTACACGCCCGATAAGAACTCCTATCCCTAAACCCTAAACCACATAACCCTAAACCCCATTTCAAGCCTAGGGTTTAGGGTTTAGGGTTTAGGGTTTAGGGTTTAGGGATAAGAACGGTCCTTGGATGGGTCCTCTTCGACTTATGGCTCCTTTGCTTCTCGTTTAGCTCGAGCCAGGTCGCAGAAGCGTCTTCGGGGTTTAGGAGGCCTAGGAGGGTTGAGAGGTTTAGGGCCTTTAGGATTTTTAGGGTTTTTTTGTTTTATAGGGCTTTTACGGTTTTAGGGCGCTTAGGGTTTTTAGGGTTTAGAGTTGAGAGGTTTAGGGGGTGTTGAGGGTTTCAGGGTTGAGGGTTGGCTCAGGTTTCATCCTAAGTTCCAAGGTTGAGGCTAGGGGGGTTTTGTTGGAGCTCGGGGTGGCTTTTGACGGGCCTGAGGCGAGAGTCCATTCTACTACTTGCTTAAGAACCACTCAAAAAACAACAGATATTCTTCCTTATAAGGGCATTACAGGGATGATTGTCTTTGTTCTCTTGGGGGTCTTAAGTCTGAAGCAAGTAGTAGCATTCCGGGCCTACAGCCTCAGAGCTTCCGCATTGCCGAAGGCCCTGGTCATGGGGCAAGCTCTTGGGGGGTCTTTAGAGGAACTCTAAACTTCACCCTAAACCACTAAGCCCCAAACCTCTTAAAGCCCGAAACCCCTTGGCTCCAAGGGGTCCTAGAGATTCTGTTGCGTGTGGCGAGAGGGTTTTTTAAGGTTTAGGGTTACCCGTAGTGTGCCCGACATAGCACGCCCAAACGCAGGCGGCAAGTTATTCAGTCACCTAGCCCCTGCATGATATTCTCTGTCCATCTACTCCCTGATCTGAAATCCTACACCGTAAAGCCCTAAGTCCTAAACCCTACACCCTAAGCTCGACACCCGCTGCTTAGGGTAGTATCCCTAAACCCTAAACCCCGCCCCTCCTAAGTCCTTTGAGTCGCGCCCTCTCTGGTTAGGGCTTTAGGGTTTAGGGTGTAGGGTTTAGGGCTTACGGTTCTGGGTTCAAGTTTGGGGTTCAGGGTTGAGGGGTTAGGGTTGAGAGCAACCTAAACCCTAATCTGAAACACTTCCATGCGAGTATCTCGGAGTATGTGATAGAATGTGGGGCGACTCAATCGTAGGTATTGGGCACGGGGGGTTGCGAATTCTAGGGTGAGGGGATTGATCATACAAACCGGTGCTGGTTTGGACTGATCCTTGCCGGTTGAGGGCTGATGGTTTATGATTTTGCTTCGGGTCCCAACCCTAAACCTTAAACCCTAAACCCTAAACCCTAAACCCTAAACCCCAAACCCCCAACCCCGACTGTTTTCACTGAGCAAGCCCGAGCTTCAAGCACAGAGGAGCCAGAAGAAGGCACTGTCCGCAGGGATGCAAACACTTAGGGTTTAGGGTTTAGGGTTTAGGGTAGTTCCCACGGTCCCTTGGTATGGGCCCTTACAAGGGTTATATACCCTACACAAATGAAGGGCCGATTACATCAGAACCCTTCAAAGGAGGTAAGGGACCACATTAAGGGCCCAGGGAACTACCCTTAGACCCTTGGTAGCCCAGCAAACGTATTACAGGAAGGGTGCCCTTTTTGGGGTTGCTTGCTGTATAAGGGAACCTTGAACCAAAAAAGGGCCACTGGACTACCAAGGCCCAAAATCCTATAAGTGCTTGTGCTGAACGGCGGGAGACTGAGAGACTTATCTGCGGGGATGGGAAGTTGGCATTACAGAGGGTGTGGCAGAACATGTTTCTAAAAGGGTTTCGGCTTAGGGCTTGGAGAAGCCCTAAACCCCAAACCCTATACCCAAAAGCCTTGGTTTCGGAGAAAGGGGTGACAGGATGACCCCTTGCATCTCCTCTTAGATATGCGCAGGGCCCAGATACCCTAGCCCCAAAAAGGTCAACCGTCTACAGATAGTAGGGTTCTATACTAGGAATAAACAGGGTACCCTGTTTGGTTTAAAAGGGGCCTAGACGGGACCCTAAACCCTGAAAAAGGAAATAAGGGCCTACTCCAGGTCCTAGTAAAGCATCATTCTCGCACGGTCCCATGTACATACAACTTAGAACATCAAAGCCTGTTCCTAGTGCTCAGTTCATAAGCCCCCAAAAAAACGTACACTTTCAGTTCTATAATTGGGGGACTAGAGCATCCCAAAAGAGTAAAATGTACTCATTCAGCTACTCAGTGTGTTCAAGAACGGTTGGGGGCCAGCGCCCCAAAGCCCCACAAGTCCCAACCCCTGAGGCGGCAAACCCCGGGGTGTAGAGTCGAAGCAGTAGCGGGTTTAGGGTTTAGGGTTTAGGGTGTAGGGTCTGTCGGAGCAGTAGTGCGTTGAAGCATCGATGATACCACGGCCCTCTGTAACAAAAGCAAGCACACCCTCAAGGTTCCAACGCGTAAACCTTCTGCATCTGGGGGTAACCCTAAACCACCCCCAAATGATTCCATGGTTTAGGGCCCTAAACCCTAAACCCTAAACCCTAAACCCTAAACCCTAAACCCTAAACCCATGATTCCGCGATTGGTGCTTCTGGACGTTGTGTCCACTGCCACCTCGTCTTCTCTGAGAGAGGATTGCAGCATGGCGCTGGCCTGAAGGATGTGGAGAGCGTGCCGTCTAACCAGGGTCGAGACCCAAGAGCAACCCAGGTCGAAACAAGGTGCCCTTGGCTTTACAGGGATAAGGGACCCTAAATCTTAAAAAAACAAGAGAATTGAGGGCCTACTCCGGGTCAGAGCGGTTTTAGGTTGGGTCTAGGATTTAGAGACCGGCCCCCACCTACCCCCAAGATTTGCACAAATCACGGTGGCTTTTTATGGGGCCGTTTTTAAATGCTGTTTACAAACTAATTCATACACTTCTCTTCACTTTTAGTATATCTTATTACCGCGGGCGCTTCGTTAGTTTATTTGCCCGCGAGGTAAGAAGACAATGTGAATGATGCGGCCCTTTTTATAATCTTATTGACTGTACTTATAAGGGCCGCTATACTAATAATATAAGGTACACCCTATCTCCAGTCGGGGGGAAACGATTGCGGGTTTAAGTCTGTTAGGGTTGCGGGACTTACGCTCGCCCGAAAAAAGGCCCTAACTAGGGTTTAGGGTAGGGGATTTGGCCCAAGGCCCCCTCGCCCCAAACCCTAAACCCTAAACCCTAAACCCTGGGGTTTAGGGTTTAGGGCAGCACCTGGAGTAGGAGGCCACCATGACAAGCTGGGCATGACTCTTTCTCCATTTTTGGCCGCCCGCGGATTGAGGAAACCGGGGGTCGTCAACCGAACAAGTTCCAGCAGCCAACCTGGGTAGCCCAGTAACCATACGGGGTTTACGATTTTGGGGCTACCTTATTGGGGTTTTTATTGATTATAAGGGATCCTACTATTTGGGGGTCTTTATAGGGGTCCCCTGTTTTGTCGTAAACCCCCCATAAAATAACAAGGGAAACCATTGGGATGTTCCCCCTAAGACTATCAGTCCTTAAAAGGGATTCTACCGATTACAATCCCTGTTAAGGACTGTTAGTACAAGGGGGAACATCCCAAAAGTAACCATAGGCACTTTTTTTGGGTTGGTTGCTGAAAGGGGGAACCTTAAACCAAACAGCAAGGGAAAAGGGTACCTCTAAGCTACCAAGCAACCCTCAGGAAAGAGTTCGAGCGGCGTGTCTCCAAGGCTTTGCTATAGATGATGGCGTCACAAATGCTGTCCTTGGTAGCCCAGTAACCATACCATAATAAGGGCAGCGCCTTTTTTGGTTTGGGTACTTTGTACGGGAACCCAGAACCAAAAAACAAGGGAAACGGGTACCACTGGGCTGTCAAGTGTCAAACAGATGCATGAAGGGTAAGGACAGAAGAGCACCGACGATTGCGGCACAGACCATGACGGCGCGCTTGTCCGCCACGTAGTGCTCACTGAGTCTGCCTCTCTCTTAGGGAAGTTACATGGTGCCCTTAGTCTGGGGCCCTTAAACGAGGACCCCTTGTAGAACCATACCTACACAAATTAAGGGCCCATAGACCAGAACCCTTTAAGGGAGGTAAAAGTGACCATATTAGGGGCCCACGTACCTACCTTTAGAGCTTCGGGGAAGCACGTGAACCCGGAGATTGAGATCGTACACCCCGTGCTGTTCCCCTCTGCCGCGGTAGGTGGACCCGCGGCCACTGTAGAGAATCATAAAACCTCAGGTACTCCTAAACCCTAAATCCCACACCCTACTCAGCCCTAAACCCTAAACCCAAAACCCTGAGCCCGAATCCCGGATGGAACAGAAGCCCTTTTCAGGTCCATGTCGTTCCCAAGGTGCTGTTGTAGCGGCTCACGGTGCTGCAGACCAGCCAGGTGGAGAGGGCAGTGCCAAGTGACACCAAACCTAAGCCCACGAGGTTTAGGGTTTAGGGTTTAGTGTTTCGGGGTTTAGGGTTGGTACCCTCTCTCTTGCATAAAAGGGGGTTCGTAAGGGAACTAAGCCCCACACACGGCTTGCAAATTTGGGTCCGAGCATCCCGCTCCGATGAGGGAGATTGTGCCCGCGATCCGGCCGGCAACGAGCCCGGTCCCGTTCTCCTCAAGAAGACTCATTGCATGTTCCGCGCCAGAGCGGTAGCTTGTGGAGTTCATGGCAATGTCGCAGTATCCGAGGCTAGTCACAGTCGTGAGGAGTCTCTCGGCTTGGGCCAGGCAGCATTGGCAGGACCTCTGGAAGAAGCTCGTCACAGGATTGTCGGCGCCCTCCAAGCTCTGGACCATGAACGAGGCCACCATGCGAGGCAACCGCAGGAAGGTGCAGAGCAGTGACCCGTAGATCAGAGATCCCAAGTGGTAGATCAGCCCACATTGGTAGCCCAAGAGAATGTCACAGGCGCCCCTGTCGAAAGTGTCGAACGTGCCACGGGCAGTGCTCGGCTTTCGAAAGTACCAGAGCTCTGCTGTCAACATCGTCGCGAACTGGGAGAGGGCGTGCTTGAGCTCGAAGATCCACACCAACACCACCACATAGCACCTTATGGTCCCCCCGCGGGGGTGCTGCGAAGATGTTCTGGGGGGCCCTGCTGTGGGCCTATATCATCGCATTGCTCCTGTCTTTTGTTCGCGGGTGTATTTCTGTATTTATATCGCTCAGTGTGGCGAAATAGGGCCCGGGGTTTAGATCAGCCCCCTCTTGACCCCAATGGGCAAGGTCTTGCGGCTGCTGCGCTGCGCAGCTTTGTCAGGGCTGTAACTTTCATCCATCCATCTACTTATCTCAACCTCCATCTCAATCTTTGTATCCGTGCCCACACACATGCAAGACCCTAATGGGTATATTGCTATTGCAGACACAAAACACACTTACAGATGCACAGCTGTGCAACCATCATGCATGTAACTCCCTTGCAGTAGACAGCCCCAACCCCTAAATCCTAAACCCTAAACCCTACACCCTAAACCCTAAACCCTAAACCCTCTTCGAGCCCAAGGTGCATCAGGGACAGAACAACTGAGAAGTCTGAGTGGTAGATGGCGGTGGCATGCGAGAAGTCCACTGGCACCGTCAGCTCGCCAGACATATTCCTGGCCCCCCCCAAGCCCTAAACCCTAAACCCTAAACCCTAGCCCTAAAACCTAAACCCTAAACCCTAAACCCTAAACCCCAAACCCTAAACCCCAGACCCCAAACCTTCTACACTGAGCCTCGAAAAATAACCCCGCCAGACTGCCCAAAACCCTCCACACCCTACGAGGATTAGCTTGGTAGCGTAGCCCAGTAACCATCTTGTAATAAGCGTACCCTTGTTGAGGTCGGTTACTCCATAATGTGAGTTCTGGATTCGGGGGACCCTAAATAAGAGAGGCCACCCTTATGTTAAAGACCCCAAACGGTACCATAATTCAGAGAGGCCATCAAAAGTGAACCTTGAACCGCACAAAAGGGCAAAAGGGTGCCACTGGGCTACTAAGTTGACGAGACCCCCGGCCTTGAAGCCTTCAAACCTGAAAAAGGACAGCCCTCCCTCAACAACTAGTTAGGGTTTAGGGTTTAGGGTTTAGGGTTTAGGGTTGAAGGCCAAGCCCCCCCCAAACCCTGAACTTTTCGAATTCCGCAACTCCTTCAAAGCCCATGGTCTGCTAGACCCCCTAACTCTAACCCTACATTGGAGTAGACCCTGGCAAAAAATGTATATACTTTTTGGGGTAAACAATTAATTTAAAAAAACAAAAAATTAAAAATTGTTTGTTTTCTTTTTATTTATTTCTTTTTTGCATTTTTTAAAAATATTAAGTAGCTATAATCGGAACCAAGTATAGTACTCCAAAACCCGGCTAACTTGATCCCAGGATCAGCATGAGCAGGCCAAGGACCCCTGGAAGGAGCAACGCCACCTGGATGGAACAGGATGCCGTTGTTTAGACATGTCTGGTCTAGGGTTTAGGGTTTAGGGTTTAGGGTTTGGGGTTTGGGGTTTGGGGTTTGGGGTTTGGGGTTTGGGGTTTGGGGTTTGGGGTTTAGGGTTTAGGGTTTAGGGTTTGGGGTTTAGGGCTTAGTATCCACTCGCAACTGTTCCGGGTCTGGGTCTAAGGACTTTGGGAGGAATTCGGGCCTGGGTCAGGGTTTCTGGGTTTCAGGGGTGTAGTGTCTAAGCGGTTCATGAAATCATCCTCAATTTATGTTTTTGAGTTTGTCTTGAGAAAAGTGTCACTTATCCGTGCGGACCGACTCCCCTCCTCAACTCTGCCCCCTTCCCCGCCCTCTGCACACAGTCCAAACCCCTAGAACCCAAACCTGCAACCGCCAAAAGTTCATAACCCCGCACCATCCCCAAAAGCCTTACACACCCTCGCAAAACAAGCCAATCCCTAAACCGCCCAAAGCCCTAAGCCACCCAACTTTGGTTTAAGCCCTAAGCCCCCCCCTCAAACCCTAAACACTAAACCCTTAACCCCCCCCCCCCCCCCAAAAAAAAAAGAAAAAAAAACAAAACCAAAACAAAGAACAAACAAGCCCGAACCAAAACCTCCCAAGCCCCACCAGCTCGCCCCTAAACCCTAAACCCTAAACCCTAAACCCTAAACCCTAAACCCTAGACCCTAGATCCTAGACTTTAAACCCTAAACCCCAAACCCTAAGCCCCGCCTGCACCGCCGCGGAGATCCAGGGCTCCAGCCCCACGGAGGGAAGCTGCCGGAAGCAGTGGGCGGCCTGATCGTCATTCTTATGACTGTTGGAAATTTCTTATTACTACTGCTATTGCCATTAGTATGATGATTATGATAATATAAAATGCTACTGCTACGAATATGATTATGAACAGCTAAACCCTAAACCCTAAACCCTAAACCCTAAACCCTAAACCCTAAACCCTAAACCCTAAACCCTAAACCCTAAACCCTAAACCCAAGGTTTTAAAGCCCCCTGCCTCTTCCAGGTTGGGCAGGGCGGTGTCAATGCTATTGGCCCGGACAGCGGCCATGCACGCAGCAAGCAGGGCTACCAGCATGAACCTGGGGCTTCAGTAGGGTTTAGGGTTTAGGGTTTAGGGTTTAGGGTTTAGGGTTTAGGGTTTAGGGACCCTTTATGGTCCATTACCTTCCCGCATGTTGGGGGTTCTGACGTATTTTGCCCTTGGGTGTTTATGGGGTACATAAGGGGTTCCCCAAACAAGGGACCATGTAACTACCGTAAGACTTTGGGCTCAAGGTCTATGAGTAGGTTTAGGATTTAGGGCTTAGAGGGTTGAGGGTTCAGGGTTCGGGGAGCATTTCCACAATTAAAAGCATGGACCCTTACTGGCCCATTGAGGGTGCCTATAAGGTCACGAAATTATGGTCCCCCTTTTGGGTACCTCCGATCATAGGGGCCGCCTTGAAATAGTAACCCCAGAAGGGGACATCATTTAGGGAAGTGACCAAATATAATATATTTGGACGTTTCAATGTTTGGGGTTGTAGGGCTTTGGAGCCTTTGGGGGGTTAGGGTTCAGGGTCTTAGGCCTTGGGACATCGCGTCCGAGCCGATTGACCGTCAGGACAAGAACCGAGCGGCATTTGCCCTCTTGAGCCCTTTCGGGTTTGGGGCTTAGGGTTTCTGAAGCAACTTCGGGTTTGGAGTTTCGGGTTTAGCTGGGGGTGATGTCCGGAAAACGTTACCTCCTCGTAGCAGCCTGGAAACCAGCATCCTATGGCTCCATCTGCGTGGGTGCTGCCCGTCGAGATCATCTCCGCGAAAGACCGAGGTGCCACCACATCCGGACTCAGAGACATGTACCTGACTCGAGGTCAAACCCGAACCTGAAAACCTCAAATTCCTAAACCCTGTGAATATCACAAACTCTCAGCCCCTTACTAGCCTCCCCTACTACCCCTAAACCCTAAACCCTAAACCCTAAACCCTAAACCCTAAACCCTAAACCCTAAACCCTAAACCCCAAACCATGGCACAGAAAGAGCAGTCCCGTAGTCGTCGGCACCACTACCAGGAAGACCAAACCAAATTGCAGCATGGCCTCTGCAAACCGGGAGAGGCACCTGGGCTTCGGCATTTGGGGGCTTCAGGGTTTAGGGTTTAGGGTTTGGGGTTTAGGGTTTAGGGTTTAGGGTTTGGGGTTTGGGGTTTAGGGTTTAGGGTTTGGGGTTTAGGGTTTAGGGTTTAGGGATGAACCTGGAGCTTCAGTTGGGTTTAGGGTTTAGGGTTTAGGGTTTGGGGTTTAGGGTTTAGGGTTTAGGGTTTGGGGTTTAGGGTTTAGGGTTTGAGGTTTGGGGTTTGGGGTTTAGGGTTTGGGGTTTAGGGTTTCGGGTTTAGGGTTTCCAGGGTAAAGCAGAGTTCTCCAGACTCGCCTCCTTAGATGGCACACCCTAAAGACCGCTATAGTTGCTGGCTTCATAAGCCCCAACATAGTGTACAATTTCAGTTCTTTCGGGGGATGTATAGTCTCCCAAGAAGTGTAAAGTGTACTCACTCAGCTACTAAGAACTCTATAGACCCTGTAATGGGGTTTGGTTGATGGGCCGCTGGGTGGTCTTAGCGGATGCCTATGGGTAGTCTCCTAAACTAGGGTCCCTTTTTGGGTACCCATCATAAGGCGGCATCCTTCAAAAACAGAATCCCAAAAGGGACCCTAATTTAGAGAACTACCCATATAGAAGTTGTAGCTACAGGTTCGAAGTATAGATTTGACAGTTTGGGGTCTGGGGTGCAGGGTCCCCAACAAGCCGCTAAATCCCCAAACCCTAAACCCTAAACCCTAAACCCTAAACCCTAAACCCTAAACCCGAAACCCGAAACCCTAAACCCAAGGCACAGGAGGTAGGTGTGGGAGAAGCAGCAGGCCAGTAGGGCCGCCAGCATGGGCTGCTCCCAGTCAAAGCTCAGCTCTAGTACATCAAACCTTGCAGTGGCTTTAGGGTTTAGGGTTAGGGTTTAGGGTTTAGGGTTTAGGGTTTAGGGTTTAGGGTTTAGGGTTTAGGGTTTAGGGTTTAGGGTTTAGGGTTTAGGGTTTAGGGTTTAGGGTTTAGGGTTTTAACCCTAAGCGCGCTTGGGAGTTTCACGAGCTGCCTCGGGTTTTGCGAACAAAATCTAAGGTTTCTTAGGGTAGTTACATGGCCCCTTAGTATGGGCCCTTAAAAGGGGACCCTTTTTTTACCCCTGATATGGTAGAAGGATGTCTTAGCAACACTTTTTCCGGATCACTTGGCAACATGAGATGCGAGGCGTTTCGGATCACTTAACAAAACGAATGCTTCGGATCACTTCGCAACGATTTGGCCCGGTCACTTAACAACCTTTTGTTCCGGCTCATCACATATCTAAAACAAGGCCCCTCATTTGGCGATTCCGGCCTTTCATGTATCTTAAAATTAGCGATTCCCGTTCATGATCTATCTTAAACACGCCCCCTCATTTAGCGATTCGGAGTCATGAAGTCGTGATATATCTTAAACACACCCCCTCATTTGGCAATTCCGTTTCATCATCTATCTTAAATACGCCCCCGGCGATTCCGGCAGTATCTTGAATCTTGAATACGCCCCCATTCCGGCTCATCATGTATCTTAAGCTTCATCAGATGTTTTACATACGCCCCCTCATTCCGGCACATCGTATATATTGAACACATCCCCATTCATCTATCTTAAATCATTCCGGCTCATCATGTATCTTAAACTTCATCATATGTTTTCGGTTTTACATATCTCCCCTCATTTGGCGATTCCGGCACATCGTATATGTTGAACCCCATTCCGGCTCATCATATATCTTAAACTTCATCATATATTATGCCACCTTAGTTGGCGATTCCGGTTCAGCATATATCTGCAACACGCCCCCTCATTTTGCAATTCCGGCCGATCATGTATCCTAAACACGCCTCCTCAATTAACGATTCCCGTTCATCATATATCTTGAACACGCCCCCTCATTTGTCGATTCGGAGTGATCGTATATCCATTTCATCATCTATCTTAAACACGGCCCCTCGTTTGGCGATTTTACACACGCCCTCGCGAATTGCGATCCGGTTCATCATCTATCTTAAAATGCTGCCCACCAAAAACAACACGTTGCCAGGTGATCCAAAACAAAGTTATTAAGCGACCTCGAAAAACGTTGCGTACCGTACCCCCCTTCCATACCATATACAAATAAAAACCCCTTGAACCAGGCGAACCATATTAAGGGCCCATGAAACTACCCTCAGAAAGCTTCACGGTGCAAGGTGTAGCCTAGACCATAAACTCTAAACCCGCAACCCTAAACCCTAGCGTTGAGCCCGTAAACCTGCGACTCAAGAAGCAATGTCTTGAAGTAGGCGTTCGATGCGAAGAGGTGGCGGACGTCCTTGTGGGAGGATGTTTGTCGCTTAAGGTTTAGGGTTTGTGTGGCTTAGGGTGTAGGGATTAAAGCCTAAAAAAGATCATAGGGCTTTAGGGTTGGGGGGTGGGGGGGGCTAGTGTTTCGGGCTTGAGGTTTAGAGTCTTGGGTGTAGGATTTGGGGTTTGGGGTTTAGGGTGTAACCCCAAACCCCAAACCCTAAACCTCAAAGGTGTCCTGCACCATGCGTGCTGGGCTGGGCATGCAGAGCATCCCGGCTACAGGCGCGGAGGGGTAGCTCTTCCTCGGCTTGCCCGGGAGTCGTGGGTAGGGGATCAAAAAAAATTTATTTGGGATCAAAAAATAATTTATTTCTAGGCGGATCAAAAAAGAACTTATTTGGGATCAAAAAATAATTTACTGAAGGCTTCGAAGGCTTCTTGCAAGCGGAACGGAGGCTGTAAACGCTCAGAAATGCAGCAGTTCTGGCCGTTCGCAAGCTCTAAATACCGAAAAAACACAGCATTTTTGCGCATTTCAGAATTTCCAGAGAGGCTGCAGATATTGCTTGTAGCAGCAGTTCTGAGCTTTCAGAGGCTGGAAATACTGTACACTGCAGCATTTCTGAGTTTCCAGAGGCTGCAAGTACGGAAAATAGCAGCATTTCTGCGATTTCAGAGGCTGGAAATACTGTAAACAGCAGCATTTCTGAGTTTGCAGAGGCTGCAAATCAATGCTGGCATCTTGGCATTAGAAGTTTCAAAAATGCGTATACTCTGAAGCATGTATATTCTGGCATAGTATTGTGGAAACTCTTGTATAATATTGTATGACATTGTATATTCTTGCATGTTATTGTACGTTGTTGTATATATTGTTGAGTATTATTGTATTGTCTTGTGTTTTCTTATGTTTGTGTGATATTGCATATTATTGCATATTATTGAATGTTATTGTATATTTTTCAATCTATTGTACATTGTTCTCTTTTTTTGTAGGTTACTGTATATTATTGTATATTCTTGAACTTTTTTCTATATTATTGCAGATTACTCTGTATTATAGTATATTATTGTATATTCTTGTATATTATTGTCTACTATTGTATATTTACTATTGTATATTATTGTAACCTTTTGTACACAATTTTATATTGTTGTATGTCTTGCTGTACATCTTTTGTAGATTTTTGCAAAAAATATTGTATACATGGGTGTATGTTTTTGTATATTTTTGTATATTTTGTATATTTCTGTATATTTTTGTATATCATTGTATATTGTTGTCTATTATTGAATATTATTGTCAATTACTGAAAATTATTGTAAGTTATTCCTTTTTTTACGTGTATATTGCTGCATATGCTTGTACATACTTGCATATTGTTGTATTTTTCTGTATTATTGAATATTATTGCATCGTTTTGTAATATATTCTTGTATATCATTGTATCTTACTGCGTCTTCATGTTTTTTTTTGCAAAAAAGTGCTCGCATTAGAAGGATTCATGTGCTTTGAAGCAAGCTTGCCCGGACTAAGAAAACAGCCGGGGGGGTTGGGGGGGGCGCAGCCCCCCCCATTTGCAAACACAACGCTCGCATCATTGGTTTGGAAAGGATATTCATATGCTTTGAAGCAAGCTTGCCCGGCTTTAAAAAACAGCGGGGGGTTTGAAGGGGGGGCGCAGACCCCCCCCCCCATTTGCAAACACAATGCTCGCATCATGGGTTTGGAAGGGATTCATACGAGTGGAAGAAGCTTGCCCGGTGCCAAACAAACAAGAAATATGTATTGTGTATTATCAATTCTATATCAAATAGCAGTAAATATATACATATATGCTGTGCTATTTCGATTTTTTTATATTTTTATGATACAAAGGTATACTCTACGATATTGTGTTCTATTCTACTCTATGCCACTCTAAAAATTTTGTTATACTTTGTTTTAATATATACATATATATATATATATAAACATATGATGTTATGCTATGTTTTCCTACATATCCTTTCCTGTCCTTTCCTTTCCTTTCCTTTCTTCCTTCCTTCCTTCCTTCCTTCCTTCCTTGCTTCCTTGCTTCCTTGCTTCCTTGCTTCCTTGCTTCCTTGCTTCCTTGCTTCCTTGCTTCCTTGCTTCCTTGCTTCCTTGCTTCCTTGCTTCCTGGCTTCCTTGCTTCCTTGCTTCCTTGCTTCCTTGCTTCCTTGCTTGCTTCCTTCCTTCCTTCCTTCCTGCCTTCCTTCCTTCCTTCCGTCCTCCCGCCCTTCCTTCCCTCCCTCCCTCCTTTTCTCCCTCCCTCCCTCCCCTTCCCTCTCTCCGTCGGAAGAACAGAATAAATTGTTTCTTGATCCTAAATAAATTATTTCTTGATCCTAAATAAATTTTTTCTTGATCCTAAATAATTTTGTTTTTGATCCGCATCCCGGAGTCGCAGGGGTTTAGGGTTTAGGGTTTAGGGTTTAGGATTTAGGGTTTAGGATTTAGGGTTAGGGGCATCGAACTCAGGGTTCAGGGTTTTAAGGGATGCGGGTTAAAGCCCTAGAGCCCCAAACCCTAGTCTGAACCCTAAATCCAAGTTGACCAAACCCTAATTAGACCCCACACCCAAACCCTAAACCCTAAACCCTAAACCCTAAACCCTAAACCCTAAACCCTAAACCCTAAACCCTAAACCCTAAACCCTAAACCCTAAACCCTAAACCCTAAACCCTAAACCCTCAGTCTTGAAGCCTAAGGGCCCTTTTCCAAAAACAAGATGTGGTTCCAAAAGAAGACAACAGCTGCAAACAGACATCGGGTCTGAGGCTTAGGGCTTCTTCGTAGCCCAGTAACCATATCATAATAAGGGCACCCTCTTTTAAAAGCTGATTACGCTATAAGGGAACCCAGGACAAAAAAAGGGTAAAGGGTACCACTGGGCTACCAGTGCTTTAGGAACAGAGAGGAGTTATAGGATTTAGGGTTTAGGGTTTAGGGTTTGGGGTTTAGGGTATGGGTTTTAGGGAGTAGGGTTTAGGGTTTAGGGTTTAGGGTTTAGGGTTTAGGGCCCAAAAGAACCACAAGCCAGGTGGCCCAGCAACCTAAGCATGAAGAAGCCTGGGTTGGCCCAGTGAAGCCCTCTGAATGAGATTCCTACATAGGGTTTAGGGTTTAGGGTTTTGGGTTTAGTGTTGAGGCTGGCATCCTATCCTGTGGAAGAATGTTTTAGACTTATCCCGTTGGGGTACTTGAACCGGCATGAAGCAGAATTCCGACTTGTGTTAGGGTTTAGGGTTTAGGGTTTCGGGGGGGCGACTGTAGTACTGTTCGGCTCCAGGCGCAATGAACCGCCGAACCGCTCGCAGGCGGTGACGTCCACGTCGTTCTCGGCCGGACATTCCTGGAGATGTAGGGCCGTGGGTTTTTCAGGGCTTTAGGGTTTCGCGTTGTTGGGTTTTGTTTGAGCGCACCTGGTACTCTTTGTGCCGACAGTTCGCTGGGATAATCCTACAAACGAAGGGCAGTTTAGGCAGGGTTCGTGGATCAGGGAGGCTTGGTACCCGGGATTCCGAAGTTTTCAGAGGGTCTCTGGAGGTTCTTAGCCTCAGGGCAACGAGTCCTAAACTCTTAGCTCTATAAATTATGTTCAGGTTTGGGGGGGGCTAGAGTTTAGGGTTTGGGGGTTCGTTCACCCTAAACAGACTTGGTAGCCCAGTGATGCTTTATAAGGGAACCTTGAAGCAAAATAAGGGAGAAGCGTACCACTGGGCTACCAAGCCCAAAAGCATTGTCTAGACCCCGGAGTAACCTAGGAATAAAAAGTAGGAAACCCCAATCCTCAAAAAGGAAATAAGGGTCGACTCCGGGTCCTAATAGCTCTAAACCCTAAACCCTAAACCCTAAACCCTAAACCCTAAACCCTAAACCCTAAACCCTAAACCCTAAACCCCCAAAATAACGGAACACCCTGTCCTGAAGGCAGACCTGCCTGCTGAGATCCACATCCTTTCTTCGCCAAAGCCAGGGAATCAAGAGACTAAAGTGCAGTTTGGGGTTTAGGCTATAATTAGAGTCGGAAAACAGTTCTTTAGGTTAATAAACCGCTATTTAAACCCTAAACCCTAAACCCCAAACCCTAAAGCCTTCCACTTCCCAGTCAAAAAAGTCTAAGCCGTGCGCCATACTTCAGTGAAGCCTCGTCCCCCTCGCGGCAGAAGAAGAGGTAGGGTCCTCGCCCCTCGATGCCGCAGAGCTGCCCCTGCTTGTTGGGAAGAGCAACGAGCCGCTGGAAAGCGCCCTTCTGCACAGCAGTCGTGATGAGGACCGCAACCACTAACCTTGCTGGCGCTTCAAGCTTTACACCGGTAGGGATATATTGTTAGGACCTTCAAAGGTTTTGCGAGGATGCACCCAGCCCTCCACTCTCCCCCATAAACGCCAACAAGTAACAGTGCCACCGCAAACACCGGCACAAAGACGATGTCTGTAAAGCTCCTCTGGGTATCTCTTGGCGTGTGTCCCGGCAAGTAGCCGGGCAGCGTTTCCAGTTCCTCGCCCTGCGCCTCTCCCTCTGTGTCATCCTCCTCGCCGGTGCACGCGCGCATGGCAACACTGTGGCCGGAGATCGCCGAAGCAGACCGGGCAGGGGGTGGGAGGGGCCCAGGAACCATATTGTAATCAGGGTACCTTCTTCTGGGTTACCATATATTATAAGGGAACCTTGAACCCAAAAAAAGGGGTAAACGGGCACCACGGGGCTACCAAGAGGACCTAAGCCAAGACGTGAGCCGAACTTCCGCCGCTGCGCACGAGCCGGGGACCAGCTGGTCGTTGGCCTGTTTCAGCCCTGCAGCTTTGCAAATGCCTTCAACTCCAAAAAAACAACTCCAAACCCTAAACCCTAAACCCTAGACCCTAGACCCTAAACCCCAAACCCCAAACCCTAAATCCCAAACCCGACGTCCAGAAACCTGCACCCTTATACCAACAGTCCTTCATGACAATCCACATGAAGGACTGTTGGTTCCCTGATACCAACAGTCCTTAATAGATAATCCACATGAAGGACTGTTGGTTAAGGGCTTTACGGCTCTTAGTCTTCCTAGGACTCTTTGGGCTCTGCAGCTTCTTAGGGCTTCTTATGGCTTTGAGGCTTCTTAGGGCTTCTTAGGGCTTTTTAGGGCTTTTGGGGCTTCTTAGGGCTTCTTAGGGCTTCTTAGGGCTTTTTAGGGTTTAGGGTTCATCCGCATGATTCTCGGGTTTTGGAACTTTTGGGTGTCGCCCGCCCCCTCCCCCCCACCAGTAGCCAAAGCCTGAAACACGGTGACCCTGGACCGAGACACACCAAAAGTCCCCAACGCCCTAGAACCTCAAAACCCTAAACCCAAAAAGCTTAAACCCGAAACCGTTTCGAACCATTAGGGGCTCAGGGAGTTAGGGGTACAGGTTCAGGTCTTAGGGTTTTTAGGATTCTAGGGTCTAGAGAGTTCAGGGTTTAGGTTTCGCGCGGCGTTGAGGTCTGGGAGGTTGGGTGGCTTTAGGAGCTAAAGCAAGTAGCGTTTCGCGTAACTCACCAAACCCCAGAACCCAAACCCCAAACAACAAATCCCAAACCCGGAGCCCTCAACCCTCTACTCTTACCCTGGATCTCACCCCCCCCAAACCCAACAACTCCTTCGTCTAAGCGCTCTGCGGGGACCCTCGGCCACACGCTACAAGCAAGCGACAACATCCAATGGCCTAGAAAAGTATACTAGTTCAAGGTTTAGGGTTTAGGGTTCAGGGTTCAGGGTTTGGGGTCCAGGGTTGTGGGCTTGTTGGGATTAGGGTGTAGGGTTTAGGGCGAAGTTGAAGGTCCTAAACTCTAAGGTTGGAACCATGGGCCCTTGGTCTGGTCCCTTACCCTTGTTTGCAGGGTCTGAAGTATGGGCCCTTGTTATGTAAAGGGTGTATATAAGGGATAAATATAACAAGGGGCCCAAATTAAGGGCCCCATGCTTGGAACCTTAGATAAACGACTCGTAGAATCTTGAAATGAAACCATCATCAACAACAACTACTGCTGCATAAGATTGCAATACGGGACTAAGTGATGCGCAAGGCAGCTTGGGCCGATGGCGAGCGCGGGTTGCTTCCCTTGAGGATCTGTGCTACTTGAGCGTGCGTGCGGCTTAGGGATAGCTGCGGTTTAGGGTTTAGGATTTGGGGGGGGGGGGTGGGCAGCAAAGACAGCAGCATGTAACCGGAGCACACTGGCCCGCAATGGCATGCAAAGCAAGAGAAGGCGGACCTTGTTAAGCAACATCAGCATCCGATCTTCAGCGTGCCCTGCAAGAATCCGATTCGGGCCAGAGCAGAAGGTACACCAGCCGATGATGTGCATCGTGTCGTGCTTCGCAGGACTCCCTTGCCATCGCAGACATCTTGCTTTCGCAGGTCCTGCAGCTTCTGTTTCTCAGAGTGCACCAGAGCGAAGGGTGGAGAATCCTGGGGGCGAAGTGTGGAGAGCACGTAGTAAACGGCGCGGTCAGGAGCGCACATGACGTTGCCCCGCTCGGCCTCTTTTGCGAAGATTTTCTCTGGAGGATTTCCAAGCCTAGAGGGGCTGCCGTTTCGCATCCTTGAAGAGCCGGTTGGCCTGATGCAGGGCCATGAAGGCCAGACCCTCCTGCAATCCAAAGTACGTCTCGCCCAAGTACGGGCCCATGATGAAGGCGGTGTGGTCTTTGTTGAAGAAGATCGGGAAGTCTTCTTGTGACCTGCGCCGACATAACCCCTTCAAGCGCGGCTCTCACACAGAGAGGCACGTACACGAACTGAACGACTATAACACACACACACACACACCAACCTTAAAACCTTAATTACACCCTTCAACCCTTAGACCCTTAAACCCCTAAACGCCTCAAACCCTTAAACCCTTAAACGCCGAAACGCTGAAACCCTAAGCTGGGTAGATCCGCCAAGGGGCGGTCCATCCAACTTCACCTGGAGCCGGCGGCCTGCGTCAAGGAAGCTCCAGACGCCCTGCAGTGCACTGCATATCATTCCTGGGCGGCGTAGGGTTTAGGGTTTAGGGTTTAGGGTTGAGGGTTTAGGGCTTAGGGTTTAGGGTTTAGGGTTTAGGGTTTCGGGTTTGGGGTTTAGGGTTTTGGGGCTGAGGGTGTGGGTTTTGGGTTTGTGGCTTGGTTGGTGTTCGGGGTTTTTGGGACTAGGGTTGAGGGTTTTGGGCGCAGGGTTCAGGGTGGTTCAGGGCAGGGTTTAGGTTTTCAGGTTCATGCAGGGGGCGCAGCAAAAAGCATCGACATCTTTTCCGATGCTATGCGGTTCAGGGTTCACGGTTTAGGGTTTGAGGCCCTATTAGACCCAGGCATGTCGGTGCTGACGGCTATAAGCCCAGTCTGAGTCTAGGGGGGAGTGGAACCATGCTTCTTTTTCGGGTTTAGGCTTTAGCTTGGCCCTGTGCGAAAACAAAAAGAATGCTCCGGGACCAGACCAAGAGACTGCCCGTAGCAAGAAACTGGCAGTCCATCTTCCTCTGAAGGTCGTCGATGGGATGCCTCGATCGCCGCTACTAGACCCTCAACCCTAAACCCTGAAAAGGCCCTTATTACCTTCAGCCCTACAGCTTAAACCACCCCAAAGGGGACCGTGACTTTGATCAACTCGACATGGTCAGTTCTCTAAAAATGATCCATTTTTGGGAGCCCCAAATGATTAGGGTTTAGGGTTTAGGGTTTAGGGTTTAGGGTTTAGGGTTTAGGGTTTAGGGTTTAGGGTTCAAAAGGGACCACAGGTTAGAGAAACCACCATAGAAACCTGTGCAACTCTTCGACGAAGTTCAAGCCGAAGGCTCCCTGGTCCCCTTCAGCGTCGCTGCTTATGAGCTGCTCCCTATAGTTTCATAGGGTTTAGGGTATTTAGGGTATTAGGGTATTAGGGTTTAGGGTTTAGGGTTTAGGCTTTAGGGTTTATCTGAACTCTAAACCCTAAGCGCAAGGCTGATGGATGGACCGCCCCTTGGATTCGGACCAGGATGCGTGAAGATGTAGAAGGCCTTGTTCACAAAGGATGGCGCCAAGCCTCTGTTGTTTCCTAGCTATTGCGGCCCCAGAGTAGTGTTTCCGGTTTAGGCCAAAGGTGTTAGAGCTCCCCCGCCACTCAACTTTACTGGGACTTATGGGAACTTGGGAACTGTCGAGCCTGTTAGGATAGTATCCATCAGCAGCACTCTCTAGGAATGTCGAGGGCTAGGGTTCAAGTTTTGCTAAACACTGAACCCTAAACCCCAGATCCTCAAAAATGCCCCACTCCCTCCCCCCCCAAAAAAAAACACGAAATCCGCAAACCCTAAACCCTAAGCCGCGGCTTAGTTCTGGCGAGCGCAAGTTCCATGCGCTCAACGCGAAACCAAAAGCCCACACCCGGAAGCCCAACCTGCTCAGTTTGCTAAACCCTAAACCCTAAATGAAAGTACGTATGAAGAAATTATCCTAAGTTATTGTACATACTTATTAAGTCACTAAATTCGGGTTTGTAGTTTCTTAGTAATTGCCCTACCTTCGGGTTTATAGCTACGAAGTAGTTGCCCCAAGTTAGGTTTTTTCGTTGCCGAGTTATACCCTAAACCCTAAACCCTAAACCCCAAAACCAAACCCTAAACCCTAATACTAGGGCTTTTGGGCAGCCAGAAGGCTGCTCAGCTTGCCCCTTCGACATAGGCGCCCCTCGGACAAGTTTGTCTGGGTGCTGGGGTCCCGGTCGTTGTAGAACCTTAGTTGCTGAGTTCATAAGCCCCCCAAGAAAGTGTACACTTTCAGTTCTGTAGGGGATTCTAGTATCCCAAAAAAGTGTAAAGTGTACTCACTCAGCTACTAAGGAGCCAGGTCGACCCATCCCATCCCGAACCGATTGCCTGACAGGGGCTGAGGTTTCTGGGACTTCTTCCCAAAAGCATGGCGAGGGTTCTGCAGCGGAGGTGGCCTCTCTCTCTCTCTGCATATAGGGTTTTAGGGCCAGCCGGCTGGGACAGCTACTCACATCGAAGCGAAGCACGCGTGGCGACGGTTTTTCAGCGGAGGGGTGGTCTTCGTGAAGGTTTTTCGTCATGCATGTCGTGAGGGAGGATGCCCTAAACCCTACACCTTACACGCTAAACCCTAAACCCTAATCGTGGCTTGACAATGCTTTCGGGACAGCCGTTCTCTAGTTGGGGTGATGAGGCTTGAAATGCCGGGGCCTTTAGGGGTTGTGGGGTGGGGGGAAGGGGGGGGGTGGAGTTGGTTAGGGTTAGGACACTAAACCCTAACCCAAAACCCTAAACCCTAAACCCTATGTTGGGGGGTTTGGCGGTTAAATGACAGGGGGTTTGGTCCACCATGGCCTGACATTTCACTAGCGCCCCCCTCTCCTCGAACTCCTCGATGGCTCGCCTTCAGATGGCTTAGGCTTTAGGGTTTAGGGTTTAGGGTTTAGGGCACCGAGGCCCAAAGTGAGAAACTGAACGCTAGCAACCATGCCATGTAAGACCTGCAGTGTGAGCCCACAAACCCCTATGCACGTCCGACCCCATGGTCTGATCCCAAAGTGCGATAGAAGCCTTAAACCCTAAACCCGGCACCCTCATCCAAACACACCTAAACCCTAAACCCTAAACCCTAAACCCTACACCCTACACCCTACACCCTAAACCCTAAACCCTAAACCCTAAACCCTAGACCCTACAAAAAACATGCATGACAAAACAACAACACGGCACCGCCGGAAGGCAGGACAACCCCATAGCCGAGTCGCCGAACGCCAGGGAAGGCCGCATAGTCGTGGAAAGCAAAGTACTTCCTCGGGCCCCTAAACCTACAGGTTATTGATAGGGAATGAGGGAATTTTGTACCAAGTGTGTGCCATATTTATATATACATACACACCCTTCAAGCGATTTTATATGGTACCTACTTCCCTCATTTCCTACAAGGAACCAGTAAGTTATAGGAAACCGAAACCTGCATCTTTGGTAGGTTGTTGCATGGAATTCTTAAAAGGCATACGCCAAAAATGTTTTGGGCCGAAGGGAAACCCCCTCCACAGGCAAGCCCTAAACCCGAAACGCCTAAACCCCTAAACCCCTAAACCCCTAAACCCCTGAACCCCTAAACCCCAAATCCTAAACTCTAAACCCTAAGCCCCCCAAACTTAAACCCCTAAACCCTAAACCCTAAACCCTAAACCCCTAAACCTTAAACCCTAAACCCCTAAAACCTTAAACCCTGCGAATAGCAACCTAAACCCCTAAACCCCTAAACCCCTAAACCCTTAAACCCTGCGATAGAAAAACCGACGTCCCAAGGGTCACGGTCTTCACACGCAGGGCGTTCTCGACGTCGGTGCGGACGGACTCGTAGCCTCGGCTGTCCTAAGCCTTTTTTAGGCTCTAAGTACACCCGAAAGTCCCAAGGGTTTAGGGTTTAGGGTTTAGGGTTTAGGGTTTAGGGTTTAGGGTTGCTTTTTTGGGATAAATGTGGGGTTTAGGGACTTCGTCACCTAGTCGCGGTGATCTGCGTCGATGAGGACTGCGTCGATGTGATTGGAGCGAAAGGCGTGCCACCGGTCCACGCCGGAGTCTCCTGCCACGAAGACAATGTTCCTCAGGCCACTGGCAGCTTCGGGCCCTAAACTCCAAAATCCCTAAAACCCTAAACCCCAAAACCCTAAAAACCTAAACCCCAAACCCTAAAACCCTAAACCCGTAAAAACCTGAACAACTGAAATGCTGAGCTGGTGGGAGGGTTTAGGGTTGGAGTTTGGGGTTTAAGGCTTAGGGTGTCAGGGCTTGAGGTCTTTACAGGAACCTCCAGAAAGTTGGAACGTGGTCTAGGGATGATTAATTAGAGCTGGGATTCCCTTCAGTATACCTTTTGCGGTATGGAGGAGAAGGCTGTTCCAACATCTTGGAGTTTACTGCAAGGCTTTCAGGGTTAAAAAGGGTTGAGGCCGAGCTTCCTTGAGCCGTTGGTATGCTGAGATGCAATCCGCAGATACCTGGACCCACGCTTGGGCACTAGGTTGAGTCTGGAGTTTCGTGTTCCGGTTCATACAGGAGCCTACATGGTTTAGGGCTTAGGGATAGTAGCTTTTGCTGCCGCAGCATCTCTCGTCTAATCCCCCTACAAATACGCAAAATACGAAAAGAACGAGCAAGAGGCCCGCTGTGTATATCCTCTCATCAGCTTCAGCTTTCTATCATGGCACGATTTCCTTCAAAGCCTCAGCTGAAATTTGCACCCTTGCTATAGGAACTTTTTCAAAAGCGGGACGGATTAGACCCTAAACCCTAAACCCTAAACGGAGCCGAGGCACGATTCCTCAACATCCACTGCAATCACCTGATGGAACACAGCCGCCAGGACGGCTGTTGTGTGACCATGGAACACGCCGACTTCTGCAACAGTCAGCTGCCGCGAAGCTGACCTGGGCCGTTTTGGGGGTTCGGGTTTAGGGTTTAGGGTTTAGGGTTTAGGGTTTAGGGTTTAGGGCTTAGGGTTTAGGGTTTAGGGTTTAGGGCTTCGGGTTTAGGCCTCTTCTCCGATGGCAAGAAAACCTTAGACCGCACGCGACGCTGCAAAGATTTTGAGCCGTGAGCCCGCGAGCCCGAAACTTCTTAACCCACACACTAGTTCCCCCAAAGCTCTCAATCCATACTAGCACTATGCCCTAAGTTTAAGTGGAAACCAGAAGCAGCAGCAAAAAAACGGAGGACAGGGTACCTCTGGGATTCATTGCGAACACCTTGAGCCCTCTCGGGCCCTTAGCTCTCCACCCTAAGCCTTCAATCCGAAGCCCTAAGCCCAGAGCCCTAAACCCTAAATCCTTAGGGTTTAGGGTTTAGGGTTTAGGGTAACCTAAAACCCGAAGGCCCTAGACCCCGCATGAATCCCTCATGGGCCTTCAGCCCAGCAAGGCAAGATGCAGAGGGCAGAAGTGGAGAGCCAGATGCCGCTTGAAGAGATGAGACGTGGTGTACAGATTCTGCTTCCGGTCCTCTGCTACCCTAAACCCTAAACCCTAAACCCTAAACCCTAAACCCTAAACCCTAAACCCTAAAACCCTAAACCCTAAACCCTAAACCCTAAAACCCTAAACCCAAAAACCCTAAAACCCTAAAACCCTAAACGCCAAGCCCCTTCCTTTGCTTCTTCGGGTTCGAAGGGGCCTCTGGTCTGGGGCGCTGAAATGGAGAACGAACGCCCAAGGGTCCATACTTCAGAGACCGTTCCAGGAAGGTAAGGCAGCACACTAAGGGGACCATGCAACTAAATTAAACTAGACCCTAAAACCTAAACCCTAAACCTATTTAGGGTTTAGGGTTTACGGTACTCTCCTTAGATTGCTTCTGGGGAAACAGGTTTCGGGGCTACAGCCTCGTTGAAATTGAAAGGCATGTTATCCGCGTACACAACAAGCGACAAACAATAACAAACAAGCAAATGCATAAACAACATAGTTTTGATAGATAGATTAGATAGATAGATAGATAGATAGATAGATAGATAGATAGATATATAGATAATAACAACAATAACAATAAGAAGAATAGAAAGAATAAAACATCTGCAGGCAGGATTCTGGTGCCCTCTGGATTGCAGCTTCGGCAGCTTCCACGCAGCTTTGCGCATCGGCGAGAAAGCACATCGAAGACAGCCCAAGCCAACTCCGAAACATCCTAGAAATGAGGAGGGTTGAGGGCTGAGTGATTGGAGCCTGGGTTGCCCAGTAACCTAGGAATAAAAAGGGTCGCTTTTTGGGTTAAAGGGGCTTATGAGGAACCTAAACCCCCAAAAAGAGAATAACTGGCTGGTTCCTAGAAGGAGGTGCCCTTTTTAATCCCTTAACCTCATTCCCCTCATTCCCCACTAAGAACCAGGGAAATGAGGAGGGTTGAGGGCTTAGGCATCTCTCAGTATGCGCAGAACCCCTTAACCCCCGAAACCCCAAACCCTGTCAAACAAAAACCCTCTGAACCCTGGACCCAAAACCCCGCAAATGGCTTGAACTTCCTAAGAATGTTGGGCTCTCTTGTGTTCTTCAGTGGAATGGCTTGACAGCACTTTGTTTAGGGTTTAGGGAATGAATGGCCCTCGAGCCCGGGGCCGGCGCAATTCTGGGTGGGGCAATTTCAGACCCCGTTTTGGGGTTGTAGGGTTTAGGGTGTGGGGTTTAGGGTTTGGGGTTCGGGTGTAGGTCTAAAAATCCGCATTGCTGGTGTGAATATGTTTGCCCTAAACACCGAAACCCTAAACCCTAAATCCTAAACCCTAAACCCTAAAAGCCCTACACCCGAAACCCTAAATGGTTGCTGGGGCGAGGCGGGAGCTTGGGCAGTTCAGGGTTCAAGGTTTGGGTTTAGGGTTTAGGGTTTAGGGTTTAGGGTTTAGGGTTTAGGGTTTAGGGTTTAGGGTTCAGGGTTTAGGGTTTCGGGTTTAGGGTTTCGGGTTTCGGGTTTGGGGTTTAGGGTTTCGGGTTTAGGATTTGGGGTTTAGGGGTTGGGGCGACGTATGGATGCAATACAGGGGGCCTTAGTAATTAGAATGGGTTTAGGGGATACTCGTCGTGATTTTTCCGACCCTTATAGTATGCATTCCTGGGGCAGGCCCCGTCTTACAATAGGATCTTGACAAGGAACGATCATCTAGAGAGAGTTCCCCACATGCAGCTTCTTTTTCGAGCACTGCGCGACCCCCAAGTGAGACGCGCAAAGAGCAGCTCATCGCTACATGTGCCTGAAAAGGTGTTTCGCATGGGCAGTTCTAAATTGTGAGCCCCTTTTGGGGTATGCCACATGGAAGGCTTCCGCAATAGTAGGGACCCCAAAAGACATCCATGATGTCGAGAAGTGTCCACATGAAAGACTGCCAAGAGTGCTCCAAGCCCTGAACACTGAAAGGTGCAGGGAATTCGTTGGCTTAGGGTTAAGGGTTAAGGGTTAAGGGTTAAGGGTTAAGGGTTAAGGGTTAAGGGTTAAGGGTTAAGGGTTAAGGGTTAAGGGTTGAGGGTTGAGGGTTAAGGGTTTAGAGGGGTTAGAGGGTTTAGAGGGTTTAGACTTCCAGCCAAGTCTTTGGCTTTGGAGGCAAGCTCTCACCACCAGCCATGCACCACTTCCTGATGTCGTCGCGCGCGGCGTCCGCGAAGCCTGGAAAGTTTGGAGTGCTTTTTTAAGGGTAGTTACATGGTCCCTTGGTATGGTGCCCTTTTAAGGGCCCCCTTATATACCCTATACAAAATAAGGGCCCATACATCAGAACCCTGTAAAGGAGCTTAGGGACCATATTCATGGCCCATGAATCTGGCTTAGGTGTTACAGGGTTTGGTGGTACTGAGCCCGAAGCCCTAAACCCTAAACCCTAAGCCCGAAACCCTAAACCCTAAACCCGAAACCCTAAACCCTAAACCCTGAACCCTACAACTTGCAGGGGCGCCTACGGATTGAGGAGGCTATCGGGGCACCCGGGGGGGATCCAATCCGGGGGGCCCTAAACCCTGACCCCCTTCGTGGGCAACTGGTTTTTTTCCACCCGGGGGGCCCAAAACCCTGACCCCCTTCGTGGGCAAATGGTTTTTTTCCACCCGGGGGGGCCCTAAACCGTGACCCCCTTCGTGGGCAAATGGTTTTTTTCCACCCGGGGGGCCCCTAAACCCTGACCCCCTTCGTGGGCCAATGGTTTTTTTCCACCCGGGGGGGGCCCTAAACCCTGACCCCCTTCGTCGGCAAATGGTTTTTTTCCACCCGGGGGGGGGCCCTAAACCCTGACCCCCTTCGTCGGCAAATGGTTTTTTTCCACCCGGGGGGGGCCCTAAACCCTGACCCCCTTCGTCGGCAAATGGTTTTTTTCCACCCGGGGGGGGCCCTAAACCCTGACCCCCTTCGTCGGCAAATGGTTTTTTTCCACCCGGGGGGGGCCCTAAACCCTGACCCCCTTCGTCGGCAAATGGTTTTTTTCCACCCGGGGGGGGCCCTAAACCCTGACCCCCTTCGTCGGCAAATGGTTTTTTTCCACCCGGGGGGGGCCTAAACCCTGACCCCCTTCGTCGGCAAATGGTTTTTTTCCACCCGGGGGGGGCCCTAAACCCTGACCCCCTGGCCCCTTCGTCGGCAAATGGTTTTTTTCCACCCGGGGGGGCGCTAAACCCTGACCCCCTTCCTCGGCAAATGGTTTTTTTCCACCCCGGGGGGGGGGGGGCCTAAACCCTTCCTTAGGAAGGCTAAGTGTGGAATTTCGGACCAACGAACATGGGCTTCTAGGCGAGGTTTTACTAGAGTGTGCCTTTGGGGAGGGGGCTTCCGCAAAAGCTTCCCTATTCCAGAGCAACTTCGCCTGGACAGCAACCTCGAGAAACACGTAGGCGGCAGGAAGTTAGAAAAACTAGTTGGGGGCTTACGATACGAAAGCGCCCCCGAATATAGACCCCAAATAGTAGGATCCCCTTACAATACGGACCCCAATAAGGTACCCCTAATATCGTAAACCCGCTAAACCCTAAAGCCTAAACCCTAAACCCAGAAAAATAAACTCAACCCAAGGGAACTACTGTGTTTGGTTGATCCTTTTGATTGTTTGCCACGCCACCGCTGATGTCCATGTGCTCCAGCGGCAACTCCAGCAACTTTTTCTGCGACGGAATGGCCTCATAGACCTTTCCTGCCCAGTGTCATTCAGCAGGACCCGAAGCCTCCTTCAGCATGACTCGAAACCCTATCTCTACCACACCTACACTTTTGTCGTAGTCTAGATAAAAAAACTAGGGAGAAGGATACAAGATATCAAACTCATTCCCCCAAGTCCCTATTAACCAAAAAACCTAAACCGCCCAGCAAAAAAGGACTGGCAAGAAAACCTGAACCAACCCCCTGGTTCTTAGTAGGGAATGAGGGAATGAGGGCCCCATATATACGCTTTCAGGGATTATCCAGGCCCTCATTCCCTCATTCCCTAAACCCTAAACACTCATTCCCTACTCAGAACTAGCTAACCAATGCTGCCGGGATTCTGTGCATCTCTTGCGGCACAACTTGGTCCTCGAGCCGAGGGGGGTGGCAGCAGAACACGGCTTAAGGCCGAGGGGAACACCCTAAACCCCCTAAACCCTAAACCCCCTAAACCCTAGACCCAAACCCTCAACCCCAAACCCCAAACCCTAAACCCCAGACTCTATGGACGCTAAAACCTAGACCTTGCAGGGGACTCAGGTCTTTATGATGTACAGGGGCTTAGGGGGGCTTAGGTTTTTAGGGATTCTAGCCTTGCTATAGTTTAGGGGTTGGGGATTAGGGTAAAGCCGCGCAAATATCGTATATCCTCAAGCCCTCAACCTACTGTGTTGTAGGGTTTACCCAGCATTCTTTTCAGCTACAGGAATATGGTTTGTATACACAGTACCTACTGCCAAAGGACAGCTGGCGCGAATCCCCTATGCGTTAAAACACCTCAACCCTGAGCCCTAGACCCCAAACCCCAAACCCCAAACCCTAGACCCTGAACCCTAGACCCTAAACCCTGAACCATAAACCCTAAACCCTGAACCCTGAACCATAAACCCTACACCCTAAACCCTAAACCCAGCCCAAGTCCTAAACCCTAAAGCCTACAGAGCCCAAAGCCCGCGCTGCTGTCTGGGGACCTGGGTCGATGAGAAGACGATCCTCGGATAGGGACAGGGTTTAGGGTTTAGGGTTTAGGGTTTAAGGTTCAGGGTTCAGGGTTTAGGGTGTAGTTTAGGGTTCGGGGTTCAGGGTTTAGAGTTGCAGGTCTGCAGAGGGAAGGGTGTTGGGTCCAGGGTCGAGGGGTTCATAGGTTACAGTCTTTGGGACTGAGGGCAGGGTTTAGGGATTAGGGCTTGGGGTATAGGGTTTAGGGTTTAGGGTTTTTAGGGCTTGGGGTTTAGGATGTAGGGTTTAGGGCGCCCCGTGGCCTTTAGAGGCTCATGGAGTTTTGGAGGTTTAGGGTGCCAGGCTTCGGATATAGGGCTCATACATAGCTAAGTCCTTATATATATATATATACAAACATATACATATATACAGATTGATATGCACATATATATATATAGTATAGATATACCTACATATATACATAAAGAGTTCGAGGGCCAAGAGTTGACTTTTCGGTATCCTGAACCTCTACGGAGCATATTCTCATGGAGACCCGGAAGGCGGGAGGGGGGTAGTTGAGGGATCCCGCCTCTCCACGCCGGGTTTAGGGTTTAGGGTTTAGGGTTCTGCACTTCTTGTCTGGCGGTGCCCAAGCAGAACCGGGGCTGACTTTGGGGTAAAGCTTCAACCTATGGGACCTGGGACCTAACCTCCTGCGCTGTAAACCGCACCCCATCGAAACTAAAAATTGTTACAGGGCGTCTCAGCTCAGCATAAAAGGATCCAAGAAGGGACGCGAGTTAGAGAACTGACCCGAAGAAAAGGGCGAAGACTCGTCCAAGACCCTCAACTCCCCCCCAAGGTGCTTGGGGTTTCGGCGCACTCCCAAACATTGCCCCAAACCCGAAAATTTCCAAACTGTAATCATGAAACATGTGTCAGTGTTGCAAGACCGCGTAGATACCCTAAAGCCCCAAACCAAAACCCCCAACCTCCAGCCCCAAACCAAAACCCCCAAACTCCCAGTCTGTGTTGTACTCTACAGCGGTTTAGGGTTTAGGGCTAGGGTTTAGGGTTTAGGATTTCGGCTGCCGGGTTTCGCCGGAGCCCGGAACTGCTTCGCCCGCCGTGCCGTGGGCCACTCATCCAAGACGTACCTAGGTTGGTCCGCTACATAAGTTAAATTTAAGCCCTATGCCCTGAACAACGAGGAGCCTTACGCAAGGACAAACGTAAACCCTATAAGTCCTAAGCCCGAAACCCTACGCTCACGAGCAGGTCAACCCTAAACCCTGATCTCCCCTCCTTCCCAAAAAGAACCAGGAGGCAGGTTCCGACACCCTAAACCTAGACCAGACCGAAACCCTAGACCCTAAACCCTAAACCCTGAACCCTAAACCCTAAACCCTAAACCCTAAACCCTCAACCCCAAACCCTCAACCCAAGGACAAGCCGAGGAACAGGTAGGGCCAGGCCAAGTTTCTGGTCCAGGAGAGTGCCACCTCGGCCCCCCCGGAAATGCGAGGGTTCGGGGTTTAGGGTTAGGGTTTAGGGTTTAGGGTTTAGGGTTTAGGGTTTAGGGTTTAGGGTTTAGGGTTTAGGGTTTAGGGTTTAGGGTTTAGGGTTTAGGGTTTAGGGTTTAGGGTTTAGGGTTTAGGGTTTAGGGTTTAGGGTTTAGGGTTTAGGGTTTAGGGTTTAGGGTTTAGGGTTTAGGGTTTAGGGTTTAGGGTCTAGGGTTAGCAGTTTTTCAGTGTGTAGGGCTTAGAGTTTAGGGTTTAGGGTTGAGAGTTTGGGGCTTAGGGCTTAGAGTTTGGGGTTTAGGGTGTAGGGCTTAGAGCTTGGGGCTTGGGGCTTAGGAGTTCAGGTTGGGGGGTTTGGGGTTTGGAGCTCACAGTATTGTGCCTCTGTCACCTGCACAGGAAGGGCTATCCCAGAGCTCCTGGCCATCGCAAGCCCGGCCAAATTTGTGTCTTGCATATTAGCAGCTATCGTGTTCAGGCGCTAGGGCTTTGAGGTTTAGGGCTCAGGTTTTTCGCAGGTCCCTAAACCCTAGACCCTAGACCCTAAACCCTAAACCGTCAGGGTGTATGTGGTCAGTTCCCAAAGCCTTCAATCCAAACCTCTTTTCGCACAGGCGGGTCGCGTCGCGGATGCTCGTGAAAGGGTTCCCCAGCAACACGCACTGCACAGCCTCACGCAGGAGAGTAGGGATTAGGGATCAGGGTTTATATGGTTTGCACGGTTTACAGGGTGTAGAGGGTTTATAGGGTTGTTAGGGTTGTTAGGGTTTATAGAGTTTACAGGGCTTATAGAGTGAATAATTAAGGTTTATAGGGCTTGTAGGGTTTATAGCGTTTCACAGGGCACAGCAGCGAAAAAAAATGAACCTGGCAAAGTTGAACTCAGTCCTATCTGAGGCTTTGCAGAACTCAGCCAGCATTTGCCCACGTCCCCAAGCCCTCAACCCTGCGTAAGCCCCTAAACCACGAAAACCGAAAACCCTAAACCCAAACCCTAAACCCTTAACCCTGGGTAAGCCAGATACCGATAGACCGCTGACGGTTGCGGGTCATAGCCAAGGTTTAGGGTTTCGGGTTTAGGGTTACAGCCCTAGGGTTTAGGGTTTAGGGTTTAGGGTTTAGGGTTTACACCCAAAGCCCGTTATCTGAGCCCTAAGCTGCCCCTGAATCCGACATAACAAGTGTCTATGCCGATCTTGGAACCCTAGCCACAAGTTTCAATGTTCGCTGTTTCTTAGGATTAAACCCTAAACCCTAAACCCTAACCTCAACTGCCAGTTCGACCCCCTCAATCGAGTCAGGCTATCTACTAACCCCCTAGCCCCTGAATCCTCAACTGCAAGTTTGACCTAAAACCCCCCAACCCTAAACCCTAAACCCTAAACCCTAAGCCCTAAACCCTAAACCGTAAGCCCTAAACCCTAAACCCAATCAATCGCGGAAAGCCGCATCGCTCTTCGCAGCCAGCGCGGCAGCGACAGAGGAGCCCAGGGACCAACCATAGACTACCTCAGGGAAGGGCGGGGTTTAGGGTCTAGGGCTTAGGGCTTAGGATAAAAAAAGAAAGAGCAATTTTCCCGTGGGCTAGGCTTACTTCTCCAAAAACCAAGGGAAAGAAAAGTTAAACTTTATCATTCCTACTAGTTAAGGAAGCCCATGTTGGCTAAGTAAGTAAAATTGGCTTGCCTAACACCCTAAACCCTAATTTCAACTGCATGTGCAAGTATGACTTCATCAGACGGGCTGAAAGAAGCACAGGAGCTTCGGGTGTGGGCTTGGGGTTGTGGGCTTAAGGCTTCGGGTGTGTTTCATGATCTCTGCTAGCTTAACATCTTGGGACACCCGCTACAAACGCCGCATTTTACCTGCCCACCTTGAAGCTACCAAACGGGGCCAGGCTCGGGGGCGCCTTGGGCTTAGGGGTTTGAGCTTTGAAGGTTTAGGGCTTCGGGGTTTAGGCTCACCCTAAACCCTAAACCCTAAACCCTAAACCCTAAACCCTAAACCCTGAGGCTCCCCTCCATGCTGCCCAGGTGCCACCTGCTTCCCTGTAACGTTGTGCACGTAGTCTAAGAGAGCCTCGGCCTCCTGTTCGGCCCGGCCCTCGGTGGTCCAGCCGTGGCTGGGTGCATACTGGCCCCCCGGCAAGGAGATGGAGTAGATGTCCTTAGCTCTAGGGGTTCTACCTTGAACCCTTAAGGTTGTACCCTTGGGCCATGGGGTCCCTTTTTAAGGATTCCTAAGGGAATATAAGGGCCCTTGGGTCATGGGGTCCCGTTTTAAGGATTCCTAAGGGAATATAAGGGCCATATCAGGAGAACGCTAAGGGGAACCTGTAGGGGCACAACCTCCGGGATACGAGTCTGAATCCCTTGACTAGCTGCAGCTGTGGGTTGGCTAAGCCAATTGAAATTTGATAGACACTACGCCCGCCAGTTGGCTAAGCCGAAGTTTCCTTAAACCCCTGCTCCAAAACCCTAGAATCCCGACCCCGAAAACCCCCTAAAGCTCCAAAAACCTCGAAACCCAAAGCCCTAGACCCCCCCCCCCCCCCCCCCCAAAGGTCTAGAAGCTTCGAGTTTGCGAAGTTTAGGGAGTTTAGGGTTAGGGTTCTACGAGCTCTTTAGCTACCTAGTTATAGAACACTTAAAGCCCTGTAAGCTTGCACACCACAAGGCCTATAAGCCCACCCGGTTAGGGTTTAGGGTTTAGGGTTTAGGGTTTAGGGTTTAGGGTTTAGGGTTTAGGGTTTAGGGTTTAGGGTTTAGGGTTTAGGGTTTAGGGTTTAGGGTTTCGGGCCGAGGGTTGCGCGAAGGCCCTCAGAAGCCCTCCCAAGCCCTACACCCAAAACCTGAGAGCCCTGCACCCCGGGATGCTCCTGAAGCCCTAAACCCTCTGAAATCCTTATGGGGCCATACATGGGGCCATACGGTGGTAGTCCGAAATACCTGTCCCCTAACAGAACCATAAGGTAGGTTCCTGATTTTTGTAAGCCATAAGGTAGGTTCCTAGTTGTTGTAAGGGTCCCACGTCTGAAGGGACCCCGAATACCCTCAACCCTAACCCCGGCCCCCAAAACCTAAACGCTGCTTGGAGGTTCATGGTACTTAGTCATCAGCTATAACCGTACATATAACTGTACTTATAACCATATGTGGTTATAAGTAAGGTTATCAGTACAGTGATAATTGGTTAATAAGCCCTAAAGCCTAAACCCTAAAACCCGATGCCAAGGCAGATTCTTTTGCTACAAGGAGCCCAGGACTCGTCCAGCTTCATTGTTGGAAAGATGCTGTCCATACTTTCCAGAGAATCATACCTGAGTCTTCCTAACCCCAAACCCCTAACGCCTAAACCCTAAACCCTAAACTCAGGGCTGAATACCCTAGCCCAAAGAAGGCTAACCTTTTATTATTTGTAATGGGATTATATACTAGCATGGCCCGTACTCAAAGCCCTTTGAGGAATATTCCTCCAAATGATCCTCTTAAACCCAATAAGGGAAAACAGAAAATATCTCAAGGGCCTACCTAGTACAGGAGCAAAGAAGGTTAAAGGTTCACCCAGCCCCTAAGTAAATTGAACTCTGCCCTCCTGGCAGTCAAATTCTGGGTCTTCCGGTCCCAACGCTATCCCGGGATCGCCCCTCCCTAAACCCTAAACCCTAAACCCTACACCCTAAACCCTAAACCCTACACGCGCGGGACGCGCTGGCAAGGGACACCACACAAAGCAGCAAGCCTTTTAACAAGCATTCTAGCCTGTAAGTGCTGCAAACCCTGTAAGCCCTCTACTCAACATCTCATGACCGGACCTTTCAATAGCCCCTAAACCCTAAACCCTAAACCCTAAGCCGCAAACCCGAAACCAAAAACCCTAAGCCCTCGAACCCTGTAAAACCTGTCAGTTTTAACACCCCCAAAGCCCTCAAAGTCCAAAAACCTCAGACAACCCTAAACCCTAAACCCCAAACTTTTGTTTAAGACCTAACAAGACAAGGGGTCTTCGTGTCGTTTAGGGTTCAGGCTTTGGGTAGGGAAGCCAACCCCCCCAACCCCACCCCTTTTTCGGGAAGGGCGACGAAGCTCTGAACCGGCACGCCCCTCAATCCGATTCCGCATGACCCTAGAACTCCTCGAAGGGTTTAGGGTTTAGGTTTTAGGGTTCAATGTGAAAACCTGAACCCCAACCCCCTTGCAAAGCCTACAGGGTTGTGGCGCTGCCGCCGAGAGGCATGTTCATCCCATTGCCGCCAAAGGCAACAACAGGCGTCGCGTTCTTCCTCAAGTGATTGCGTTCGGTGTGCTTCAGGGTTTAGGATGAGGGCTGTAGGGTTCAGGGATTAGTACGCAGGGCTTAGGGTTTTAGTTTTAGCGGCTTTTTCTTTTGTTTGGGGTGGGGTGGGGGTGGTAGTTATGGGTTTAGAGTCTACTTTGTTCCAGGGGCGATCAGGAGTCCATGGTGTTGACGCCGAAGGCAGCCAAAGAACCAGCGCCGCAACCTAAATAACTACCGTCCCTATCCTAATTCTAGAACAGTTCTATTTCGAATGACCTGCAATATTCCCAACCCTGTAGACCCCTTACGCCCTGACCCTGCAACTGCCTCAACTACTTAAACCCTTAAACTCCCAGAGCTGAAGCCCTTAAACTCCTTAAGCTACCCATGCTCTTAACACCCTGAACCCTATTGCCTGCCAAGAATCCTAAACGCTAAACCGATTAAGCTAACAGAGCCCCAAACCTTTGACCCTAACCCCAGAAACTGTAAATGCCCTGAGCGAAATTGCTTACTAAGTGCGTAAACCCCAGACCCTAACCCCTAATACCTATAAACCCCCTAAACGCCCTTCACACCCTAAACCCTAAACCCTAAACCCTAAGCCCTAAGCCCTAAGCCCTAAGCCCCAAACCCTAAACCCTAAACCCTAAACCCTAGCCCTAAACCCTAAACCCTAAACCCTAAATCCTTAAACCCTGAACCCTGAACCCTAAGCCCTATTGCCCACTAAAGACACCTCTTGGTTGGACAGCCGATCTGAGGGCTTGTCGCCGGCCCATAAAGGCAGTGAGCCGCACGAATCCTCGAATGGTTTACGTCGGGTTTAGGGTTTAGGGTTTAGGGTTTAGGGTGTAAATCACGTGGTTGTAGGGCTTCTCAAGGTTAAGTCTAAACCCTGAACCTCTTAAACCGAAGCCCTAAACAAAAGGAAAAGTGACAAGTCAATGCACTACGGTTGACCCGACACAATAATGGCCCTAGGGTAATTCCAGTTCAGAAGGAAAGGGTGACTTGCCCCGAGGCAGAACAAAAATTAGGGGCTCGCTGGTTGAGATGTTCAAATTACAAGCGTTGAAGCGGCTTAGAGGTAGTTTCTTGGTTTAAGGGATTTAGGCGTCCAGGGGCTTTAAGAATGTACGAGGCTTGAGGGTTGTGGGGCCCTAGGGCTGTAGGGCTGGGGGGTTGAAGGAATCAAGGGGTTAAGGACTTTACACCCTGAACCCTAAACCCGAAACGGGTAGCTTATGGTTTAAGGGTACCGAGTTTTTGAATGAGTCTTGGCTGGCCACAGAGATCCAAAACACGATTGATTCGTGGCTTGTTTCAAAGACCCAAAAGCACGATTGAATCCAAATCTGGGATTGCATCTTGGCTGTCTTCAAAGACCAAAAACACGATTGATTCCAAAGATTTGGATTGAGGCTTGGCTGGCCTTTTAAAGACCCAAAGCCTGATTGATTCCACATTTTGAATGAATCTTGGCTGGAACCCCTAAACCCCTGAAATTCTTGAACCCCCGAATACCCTTAACGCCTGAAGCCTTACGCCCCTGAAAGCCCAAAACAACAACTTTCAAACTACCACTAGCATTTGAGCCCTTCAGCCATGAACCACTTAAGCACTGAGACCCCTCAGCCCTTCTAGGGGCTTCAGGCCGGGTTTAGGGTTTCAGGGCCTCAGGGCCTGGGTTTAGGGTTTTAG